AACAAAAGTCATGCTCAATCATGAGAAGACATTTTGGAGTATGTATCGGATCGTTCCTATGAGTTTAAGCCTTTGTAGATTACTAATCACCCGATTAAAATATTTAAGAATCCTAATCATAATGATGATTAGGATAATTTATCTTTAATAATTATAATCATTTAAGTAAGGCATGTATATTTATCCGAAACGTACCGTCTATATCGGACGGTACGTACCGATCCGACAAATTATCGGTATGCGGATCGTTCGGTACTGTAACACTGCTACAGTGCCGTGCTGTAGTATTGCTACAGTGCTACAGTACCATACTGTAGAAATGCTATATTATAAAAAATATATAAAATTATTCAGTACACCGGTACCATATCGTACCGAGCTAGAGTTGAAACGTCGGTACAGTACAACGAACCTTGCTCTTAACACCTTTAGTTTTGCTTCCATAAAATGATAAATTTATTATTAGCTCGAATCTTACCTTTACAATTTATCTTTACAATTATTTCGGATTACAACGTTATAAATCTAATGAATGAATTAATGGAGCAGTTAATCCATTGAGTTCGACTGTCAACTTCATAAAAACATATAATGAATTTATGAAAAATTAAGGAAAATGAGCCAAAGTGTCAGGTGGCAAAGACAAGTGTGACAAATCAAAAACATCTGAAGCTTCAAATTACAAATCTACAAGTCAGACTTGTTTTCTGAAGCTTCAAATAATCTTTAGCTTGAAACTTCACACAGTGGGACAAAAGAAAGAAAGCATCATCCAAGTGCTGCACATCTTAGCTTCATGTCTCTTTTCAACTCATTCTGGCTCTGTTTGATTCAACCATGGCCCTGTCCTGCAGTCACAGCCCTTCACTCTCGGGGCACAGATGCTCTTGAAACTTCTCCTGCAAGTTCCATGACAAGGCCACCTTATTCATGAGCTCATTGAGATTTAAAAAGGAATTTATCGAAACTAAAAGACTGGATCACAAATTCACCTAAACATGCACTTACAATAACTTGTGAAATGTTTGCCATGCTGCTAGCCTGTAGCAGCCAGAGAAGAGGGAGAAATAAGAGTAAGATTGAAATGCCTATTTAATTGGCCAAACAGATGAATCTCTCTCCAAACAAGAGGGTTAACATATAAGAGGAAAAATATGATTGTGTATAAAGTTAAAACAATGTATCATTACCATCTTAAATAATTTTTCTCATTTTATCATGTACCATTGTTATACCTAATAGGATAATATGAACCTATCATTATTAGCTTATATTTAAGCATTTTAGATATACTAGTTTAAACTTATCAAGTAACTGTGTATAAATCTCTCACTAAACTTTTCATTTTATCCTATATCGAAACTACACCAAGTTGGACAAGATGAAACTGCTATTATTAGCTTATGGCTAAAGACTTTAGGCTTATCAAGTAACTCTTAATTTTATCCTATATCGAGATGATACCTAATTGAAGAAGATAAATGCTTATAGTCAAACATTTTAGATATCCTAATTAGGCTTACCGAGTATAAGGCTACCGAGTATAAGGCTCCCGTTAACCTTATCATTTTATCCTGTACCAAACCGATCGATAAGATGAACCTATTATGATTAGGTCATAAATATGTATTTTAGATGTTTTAGTTTAGGAGTAATTATGTATAAGACTCTCACTAAACCTATGAAGTAAATACGTATAAGATTTCACAGAATCTAGGAAGGATGAATACTACATCGAAAAGAAAAACACATGGATGAGGAGACTGTAGATCCTGTAAGAGAAGTATTATATCTAAAGAGTTGCCTCGAGTTATTCCAAGAGGTGTCTCAACCTCTGCTTGAGTGTCTAAAACTGAGTCATCAAAGCGTCAAGACATTTGTTTCTTCAATATGCCCAGTGAATGAACTTGGTGAGGTTCTTGTTCTTCCCACTGGGCCATAGATTGAGCTCCATTCCCCCAATTTCCAAGCTCTTCGAACCAATGAATGACAATGACTGTCCATTGAGAACAAAAGTGGATCTTTGGATCACTCGTTTCTCACATAGATCGCACATCTCCATATCATTATTTCCCCCAAAAATATTAAAAGATCGACAATAACCTCATTATATTGCCCTACAAAATCCTCTCTTTTCTCCATTTTTTTGAGAAAATTTCCACTATTGACGACATAATTTCCAATATTTCCAATATGCAGATCATGACAAAAATAAAAATAAAGAGAAAAAAAAGGAGCGGATAATTGGAGGATAAAGGGGAACAAGCAAAAGCGGCGTAGACGACTCACCTTACATCCGAAGACAAAGAATCCGGCGACGCTGGCAGTGGCGATGCCTCCCCATATCACTTCCGGTATATCATCTCTCTTCGCCTCCTCTCTCTCTCTCTCTCTCTGTAATCTTCCTATTCCTATTGGGCCGGACCAAATATAGCCCACCTCATATCTCATCTGACACGTGTTCTGTAGCTCAACATTTTTTATTATTACTAATATCATTACCATTTCTAAAATTTTAACATAAATATTCAAATATTAATTTAAATGATTGTTCAATTTATTTTATTTATTATTTTGAATTTCTATCTATAACTCGTATGATCATTATTTTTGCAAAAAATAATAAGCTTAAAAATAATCATGCTACTATTAATTACTTCCAACGTGTCAAGCAAATATATATTCCTAAATTCTTGGTATAAAAATAATTTACTTAACTTTATATTCATCCTAAGATATTATTTTTAATACATCTGACAGACAGGCTTCAAAATTAAAAAAATTTATATTTGAAAATTTCTAATAATCATCCACTGCTAAGAACGAAAAATAAAAACATATATGGAGGATTCGGATATCATCATCATCATCATCATCATCATCATCATCATTATTATTATGTTATTATTATTGTTATTGGTATCCGAAGCTAATCCAATTCCATCCTATCCGAAACTTTATATTTGTCTCCTTTACTAAATCTAAATATGATATCGCTAGATAAACCCAAAATAAACATACTCAGCAACACATCCAAGTATGTGAAAATACACCATTTTTATGATGTGGATGCTTTCATGCTATCTAATATAATTGGAGCCAATTGTGGTAATTTAGAATTAGAACGAACATATTATTTGTCTACTCCGCATTTTTGATCTCAAACTCTCATGTCATAATTCGAACCCTTAATTGAATTTGCCCATATTCGTAACGTTGATTACATCTTCGTTTTTCGGTCAAACCCCAGAAAGAAAGGGTCAACATGCATAGGGCTTGACAGCCGCTGTCTTCTCCCTCCTCTCGCTCGCCACCGCCCATTTCCTCGCTACCACCACCTTCTGATCCCTATATATACCCCTGCACGGTCGTCATCTCCCCTCACCTCCTCTCCTTTGACACATACCACTCCTCACACGCCCCCGGAGCCAGCCATCCTACAGCCCCACAGCCACAGTGTTCATCATGGGTGGCTGTGCGAGCAAGCCGAAGGACATCGACGGCACGGGTCCAGAGGACATCCCCGTCGTCCCCGACGTGACTCCCGCTGCCGTGGACGTCACCGAGGCACCAGAAATCGAGGTGCACTAGTACTGCATCGTCTCTCTTCACTCGTCCTTTCTGCATATTCTCATATCTCCTTTAATGTATGCCTGCGTAGGCTCCGGGCGGATCGAATGATAATACTAAGGAGGAGAGCAAAGAAGAAGCCGAGGCCGAGGTGAGCGAGGCCAAGGCGGATGGCGCTGAGACAGCCACCGAGGAGAGTGAGGGTATCAACGCCGATGAGAAGAGCACGGAGGCGGCGGCGAAGGCCAAGGCCGTGGCTGCCTAGTGTTTGTTCGATGTGATTCGGCTAGTATCCGTCAAAATAAAATGCGTTCTTGGGACGCCTCAAAAATCATGCATGCATATGTGTAGCTAAGTGTCTCTGGAACAATGCTGAAATAAATTGACGTGTTTGTGTTAATATATCCCCCATTAATCTAAGATTTACATGTTGAGGTTACGCTATTTGTCACCCTATGTGAGAGAGAGCGCATGAAGAATATATGTTAAATACAATGATATTGAAGAAAAAATTAATCAAATTGGCTAAAATGTTTAATCTGGAGAAATTTCTCAGCAAAACTTTCATAATTCAACAATATCTAAGTTCACTCGGAGAATAATCTTATTGTAATTTAATGTTGATGCGACCAAAATCAGTCTAAATGTTGAGGGTTCAAAACCTTAACGAATATATTTTGAATGTATTAAAGTAATTCGGTTAGTAAAAACTTTGACAGTTTATCATAAAATTTTGGATTTGAAAAAAATAAAAATATTAGTAATTAAAATCCATATGTCAAAATTTAAATCGTAAAAGGTGATAGCGAATAAACATGATTATACTACCCTTTTTCTTTTCTGCAAGGAAAAAATGCATATTGATCCTCCATTTTTCAGATGCTTCCAGTGAGCAATCATGTTAGGATGGATCACAAAAGTAGAACGGATCGACCACTATAGAGTTCCAAGTTCTATCGCATGGAGGAGACAGTCCTTATCGTATATAACATGACGTACACCTCAACCTTATAAGCTAATCCCTGTGGTGACATCCAACGTAGCTTCTACGCAATGCTCACGCATGTTCTAATGAGGCATTTAGGTGAGATCATCCAGCCACTCGATAAGTGTACTTGTATTCAGATGGATCTATCAGTGCAGGGATGATGATGCTGGTAATCATGAAAAGTTGAGTAAGATTGCAACAAAGAGTATTTGCTGCAGGGAAGAAGTACTTTGGTTATCACATCGCCGACCATCACTGTCACTCCAGTGCAGAGAAAGCACAGGTTAGTTGAGTACTGTAGTTGCGGGGCTCCTTTCGATGGCGATGGCTTGTTTGCACAGAGAGAGAGAGAGAGAGAGAGAGAGAGAGAGAGAGAGAGAGAGGTGGTGGTAAGTGCTTTAAATACCAGGGTTGGTGGGTGCTCGCGGTCGGGGCGGGGGATCAGGGATGGGGAGGCGGCCGTGCTGCGACAAGCTCGGGGTGAAGAAGGGGCCATGGTCGGCGGAGGAGGACGAGAAGCTCGTCGGCTTCATCCTCGCCAACGGCCATTGCTGCTGGCGCGCCGTCCCCAAGCTTGCCGGGCTGCTAAGGTGCGGCAAGAGCTGCAGACTACGGTGGACGAACTACCTGCGCCCGGACCTCAGGAGAGGGCTGCTCAGCGACGTGGAGGAGCAGCTGGTCATCGATCTCCATGCTCGCCTCGGGAACAGGTTCTCCCTTCTCTTCCTCTTCACAGTGTTTGCATGCGTCGTAGTCTCATGAATGCAGTCACAGCACGCGCACGCATAACAATAGAGTCGAAGCCCGTGGAACACTCATGCAGGTGGTCGAAGATTGCGGCGATGCTACCGGGAAGAACGGACAACGAGATCAAGAACCTCTGGAACACACACATCAAGAAAAAGCTTCTTAGGAGGGGCATCGATCCCGTCACTCATCAACTGCTCGATCGGCAAGCAAGCCCCGTAGCTTCACAGTCCACCGTCACCACCGACTCCAAGTCCGATGCAGACCAGTTCCAGTCGCCAGGAAACCAAGGCCACATCCCTTCCTGGGACAACAAGAACCCAGCGGAAGCAAGCTCCAGCGCCGGCAGCGCGGACCCTCCTCTGATGAACTGCTTGTGGGAAGACGACGCGCCAGTGCTCTTGGAGGAGCTGTGGCAGCTTCCGGGCAACGAAGACAACTACGGCGCCATCGCCGCCGCCGGGCAGGTGCCGTGGGACTACGAAGGGTGCTGCGAGTGGCTGCTGGACTACCAGGATTTCGAAGAGGGAGATGTGGGATCGGAGAATTTGCCGAGAAGGTAGGCGAAGCAGAAGTGGAGTAGCTTTGTAGTGCACCGTGTAGTGCACTCAATTGTAGATCATCCATCGACAATAAGCTCGGTCGTCTTAATTACTTCTCCTTTTGTGTTATTCTCTTCCCTCTCTTTGAACCTCAGAGAAAGCATGTCATATGATGCTTTTTCTGGAACAATTATGCTAAGATATATTTGTTCGAACAAATAATAATCATAATTATATGAAGATTATATTACTTTTTCTTTAGCATATTAAAGACTATTTTGGTATGGCTTCCACTAACATCAAAGCTATATCATGACTTTTCTTCTGTTCGCATCAAACACTTTCTTATCATGTTTGCCCAAGATTCACAAAATGTCAAATGGTGTAGACAGTAGATGACATGAAGAATTAGCACATCCAAGTTCCTGTATACATATGTATATAGGAACATGTATCTTAGTGAGCAAGTCTCCAACTTTCAAAGCTGTAGGCAGGTAGGCTGTAGCTCTTTGCTCTTCCTTCAGAAGTCAGGCATTGAATTCAGGAATTAGCAAGGAATGTTCTATGTCTACTATGAGCCTTGGCTGAACAAGATCCAAGCCATGGAATCAACTGAGCCTTTCTTGGTAGTCTAATGTTGAACTCAGAAAACACCCACAGTGTTGCTCAGTGAGAGCTGGGAGTCTTGCTCATATGATTCAGATTAAGTTTATGGATGACAACACAAGGGCTACAGATTATTAGTACTGGCTTCAGCAATTTCTGCTAATGGTCACTCTTCATGCCTAAGACGAATTACTTTGACCACACTGACAGAGAAGCAGGAGTTGGAGACAAAGTATGTTTCATTCTGTATGCTCTTTTCAACCACTGGCATGCTAATTGCAAGCAAAACGAGCTTGTTGGACTTGTATATTGTGACTAGATCATCATATTCTCCACCAAACTATTAAAGAATTAAGCGGACTAGTTATCTACATTGGTCAAATCTCTTTACTCTTTGATGATGGTGTGATTTAGTAGTATTAGATGTAGTTTTAGGTGTTTCCCAGTTTGAAAGTTTCCACGTGTATGGAGTGGTTAGCATCAACAGAGACTTCAAGCTGACTTCTGAAACCTACTTCAAATACCAAATATTGAGAGTGAAGGGCAATGATAAACTGTACAGCTCATTGATGCTTCAGGACCTGCTGAAACATTCAGGACTGATAGCAAGACGGATGATTCCACTGCTTTGGTAGGAAAACGTAGTTGTCGATGTGATAAACTCTGGTTTTGATTGAAAGAGTGGGCTCTATATGTCTGTTTGATGCATCAGCAGTTGCGAGAAGATTAGTAAGAGCCTTAAAAATATGACATTCTTCAGAAGTAGAAATGACAATAATTCTTGCAAGGACATATTATGATATAGCCTGAAAAGGACTCAATTATCAGGATTGGACAGAGCTGAATCAGCGACCGAAAACGATGGCAACGGAATGGAAGAAGGAACTCCAGAATCACTTACACATGCAAAACATTGCAGCTTGCAATGGACAGCAACAGGGAAGAAAGAGCGAGTTAGCAGCCAGGAGAAAATTTTCTTCCATCCGCACCTGGACAACTGTTACTGAATGAAAGCACATCAGTTTCAAAAGGAAGGTGAATAAAAAGACAAGGTTGGTTGGTGAATCCCTCACAAAGCATATACTTGTTGAGTTGATGAATTTATTTGGCACCCCGACTAAAAGATTGAATGATCACCACCCAAGAAGTCAACTTAGAATGATCTGCAACCAGTTTCTTCTCCTTCCACCACTTTAGGATAAGAGTAGATGCATGGTACTCATGTATCGGTATGAATTGTTGGAGCTTTTGATAGCAAATCAAGACCACAAGTCATGCAACAGTAACTACATACTGATACTGCCATTTCTTTTTCTTATGTAAAACTAAATACACTGAAAAGAACTCTTTTTAAGAGGATTCAGAAGAGCATGTGGATCCATTTTGCATCATAATGGGAAATTTTGGAGCCTAGATTGCCAAGTTCAATCACCAACAAGCCTGATAATTCATCACTAGCAACATTGCCCATTTTAGCATTCCTGAGAAAATGCTTCTGTGACATGTAAATTGGTTGGTACAGTAATATGAAAAGCAGCTCAATGATGCCACTTCAGAACTCAAGGTGGAAGAAACTAAAACCATGTTCACCTCTGAAATGTTTAGAAAGAAGAAATAAAGAAGGCAAGATCCTGAAAATGGATACATAACAATCAGTCAAAAGGCAAAAGGCAAAAATGATTCAATCCTTTGCCTGTAGACTGACCTTCTTCATACTGAATGATAGGAAGTAAAATGCTGAGCTTGCAAGTAGAGAAGCAAGGAAATTTTTATGGCAGACTTTTGTACTCCAGCAATTATGTTTATCTTTTGATGCACACATATCAGCATTACCTACCTAACCATGCAGTGCTTTTCTTCCGAACTGCTCCAGAGTTTGAAGATTGGTTAGAAAAATTGTTTGGTCAATAGGCTCAGTTGTTGTTTATCAATTCCAAAAAGAAAATTCTTCTTCACTCAATCTCAAAGCTCAATCTAAAACTATTTGACTTGACAGATATATCACAACAGTTGTTAGATGACAATGCTGAAATTTTAATGGATTAGAGATACAATGGACTTCTGCTAGTGGAAAGTATTAAAAGGTGTTTCCCTCCAGTGTCTGATTTGCATTTTTTTTTAATGTACACAATGCAATGCAATTAATCCTTATTTTTGTTAATGTGGTTAGCATAATTGTGGCCTAATTTTATAAAATCAGCTTCTTTACTCAAAACACCATTTCCCTTAATAAATAAAGAAAATGGCTGAGTATGACAGAAAGACATTTGAATCCTTGGACTGACTTCATAATCAAATTACAAGTCATCTAAATATGAAGGATGAGGCTTTGATGGTCACAAATCGAGTGTTAGTACTTTTCTTATAGGCAATTAGTTTCTTGTATTATTAGATTTCAATTAACCCTAAATCACGACAAAACTATATGGTGATTTTGAGCTCATGATCCAACATGAAAGCTGACTCGTTCAATCAAATTATCACTTGTATTAACCTTATTGAATATATATATATATATATATATATATATATATATATATATATATATATATATATATTCAAGAAATGGGTTGATGGGCTGCAAAGGTCTCTTAGGTCCATTAAGAGGCCCAAGCAAGGCTTCAGGAAACACCGATTCCCGGCTTCCTTGATGGGGTTCTTCTCCCGCCCGAGAAACGACGGTGAGGGAGAGAGGTCTCGGGATCAAAGCACACCGACTCTTTCTTGCCTCGCTTCCGCGACAGCGACCGTGGCATCGGCCGCTCCGATCACCGCTTGACGGCGCTCGCCGTCTTGTTCCAAGGTGCGGCCGGCCTCCTACCTTTGTCCCATCTTCTTAAACCCTAATGCTGAGGGTTAGAATTAGCCTTTTCCGTCGCATTTGGTTGATGTTTTTCCCTGAAGATGGTGCTCAAAATAATAATAATACGCGACAGAGTTGTGATGTAGAGGTTGTGGGGAAGACATTGGCGAAGTATTTGGGATTGGAAAGAGGAAATCGGAATGGCTTGCTCCCTCTTTCGGAAGAAGTGCGGAAGCAGGTTCGGATCACTTTCGTGTATTTGGGTGTTGCAACTCATGACAATAGCGTCATCCGTCCTGCAATTGTTGATCTAAACCATCTGGCGTTTGTAATAGTGGATATGTCCGGTGGTTGGGATATTTTCGGAATTTGATCATGGTTTACATAAAAATTGCGCAATGACTTGAAATTACTATCAAAAGATTAAGAAGAAAAAGAAATGCTTGGTTTATGTTAATAACCATAATAACTTGAAAGCGTGGTTAATGATTAAGAATTTAACTCAAAAGTGTTAGATATGTGTTCTGTAATCTAATGAAAAATGAAGAAAATGCTTAAGGTAGAAACTTTTGTCCTGTGTATTTTAAGAACGTTAAGTGCAACAAAGCAAGAGTTGATGTTTTCGATGGTAAAGACTTTGACAGTATATTGCAAGATTTTGGGCTCGAATCCTGCCTTCATCATTTATCTTTTGCAGAATAATAATGATGATGATGATGATGAGATGGAGATAATCTGTTACATGAAGCATGGGGAAAATTTAAAGGAATAACGTTCTAACTAAGTTGTAAGTTTCACAATACAATGTGCTGACTAGTTGTCAGTTGTTGGAACTTTTGCCACTAAAAAAGGACAACAAGTACCTGGATTTGCAATTTGACATCAGCATATTACTGGAACATTCCTGAACTCTCTTTGTTTGGTACATCAGGAACAAAAGTTAGCAATTATGCATATCTGTATGGTAGAATATGTGAAATTTGAAGTTCCCTGTGACAGTCGCCCTGATAGTTGGATCTTCTTTCATCCTTCATGTGACTTGTAGATGTATTTTCTCTGAATAACCATCAGGAAATTTCGTTGCTTGTGTTATTTGGAAGTCATTGCTGACATAAAATCTGCTGAGTGCCTAAGAAAGTAAGTCCACTAGAAGTTTTGCTGCATATTCAATGATGAATACTTGCCATTTATGCTAGACCTTCACGGTTTACCACCTAAGAGGGATCAAAGTATGTCTTGGTAATGGCTGTTTGCTTATGAATTTATGGACTACCGCAGTTGTTACTAATTTGTTAGAAACATTTCTAAATGTCTATGGATCAGTTGGTTATGTCATTAAGTGTATTGGTTATCAGAGAGGATTTCTGTTCATAAGGTGAATGTGACATGAATAATTTGTAATAATTGGTTCCCAAACAAAATGTTTTGAACAAGGAGTGCAGAGATCTACTAGAATTATCAACAACACAGAGTTGTAACTCTCTAGAAGTGGTTTGGATGTAAATGATGTTGATTGACTGGGTGAGAAAAGTGTTTTCTTGCCTGACTTTAAGAAAGAATCATCTCATTGGAATTTACAAGGAGGTGAATAAGATAAAATTTTCTGCTGGAAGCTCTCCTTGATTAAGATCTGAAAAAGGATCAGAGAAAAATTGTAGGGAGAACCATCAAGTAAAAGGAAATGATAGTTGTGGGAGTAGAATTCATTATTGTTTGGTCATGTTTTAGCAGACATCAAAGCATCTGTACATGGCTATATTATCTTTTTTTATCCGAAGAAGTCTTTGCCTATCAGATCCTGTGAAACCTTACCCC